TTGGTATGTTTGTTTGTTTTTTATTTTTATTTAACTTTTTCTACATGAAGGTAACTAAAGTATTTTGTTTAAGAAAATGATTGATGACTTATGTAATGTATTAACTTCTCAATGATACTGGAGTTTAAGTTTATTTTACTGACTCCTAAATGATTGATGATTAGAGTAAGATTTAAATAATGAAGTTTATTATTTGACTTCTGGTATGATGAACTAATTTTGTTCTCTTTTTAAGGCTATCAACCTGTTTCATATCATCTCAATAATGTTCAAGATCATCTTTAACCTGTAACCCAACAACCTACATCAACCTAACCAATAAACTAAAAAGATGAATGAATGGAGTTGGCCAGCGTCCTCTGTTGAATTAATGCCTTATCGAGTTTAGGCAGGCAGGCATTGAAGAAAAATAAAAGAACTCGACAATAAATAAACTGAATTGAACTCATTTAACACATTTATCAAGAGGGGTGTCAGAGCATCGTCCTGTTCTGTTTTATGATGCCTTCTATCAGCTGGCAATGTCTCAGGACATCATGCCAAATCAGAGTTTTTACTTTGTTTTTTTACTCTGAAGAAATTTTGTAAACTACCTAAGTGGCCAATGGGCTGACCCATGGTCATATGCCATCTCAAACTGAACATTTCATGTTTAAATGTCTGTTAGATTACACATGACCCTGAGATGTACAGCTCCTGTAGTTTGGCCTTGTTTAAACCAGATTCCCACTCTCCAAACCAACCAGCAAGTATCTGTCTTTTGCACAGAACAAATGTTTTATTTGTTAGACTGGTTTCTTTTTTTAAAAGACTATTTTATACAAAAAAGATTATATTTAGATGGTTTCAGCTCATGTAATCATTTAAAATAATTTATTCTTCATATTTTATCATTTATTGAATTATATTTATCCCAGAGCAGCTGTGTCACAGTATGATTCTAAATATAAACATTTAGCACATCAAGAACCTTGTTGTCATAAAATTGTGAAGAATGAAATCTGTGGATCTTTCTGATAAATTAAAATAACATTTAAAACTCATTCACCTAGAGAACATAGCAAGTTTTTATTTTTATTTTTTTGGATGGGGGGGGTGACGTTTAACAGACTCATCTTTGCTTTGATATGGGGCAATTAAATGTTCGTCTGTTAGAGGTGATATGGTTTAGAAGAACTCGAACAGTGAATCTAACAAAGACTCACAGCCTGCTCACACTGAGGCGCGTTCCCGTCTCTCAGGAGGAGAGTTTAGTCACTGACACAAAGTTGGACAGATCTGTTGGATAACAACGCTCTGAATATAAATTTAATAAAAAGTTAGGTTTTAAAGACCAAAGTCTGGTAGTTCAGGAGCAAAGTGCAGGAGGAGATGTAAGGACTGATCGCTGCTCGAGCCGCTGCTTCAACCTGTTTCTGTTGAAAACAGCTCTCACTGAAAGTCCTGCCCTTCTCTGATTGGATAAAACAGCTCTGGAGTTCGTCTGATTTGTTGAAAGCAGTGTCTGTTTAATCCTTACACATCAGGGTCCCGCTGCCGTCCACTCACAGAACGACGATGCAGTCACACCAGTGAGGCTGGATTTTTTTGTTTTGTTTTTGTGTTTTTAAGAAATCAGGTCACATTTGCGACCCTGCTAGCTGTTGTTTTCACATTCTCAGGTATAATCTTAGGTACGCAAGGGAGCTTTATGACATTCCATCTGGTGCGCTTTTTCTGTTTTGATCGCGCACCTGCGCACCACTTATGTGCAACTCTGTCCATAAGAAAACAAGATGCTGCAGCAGAGCTAGCTGCCACACAAGCAACTCTAAAAAGGACTTGCAAGAAATAGGAAGTGAACAGCAAGAACTTGAAATTCTTGCTGCACAAGAAGTAGAAAATTCTGCAAAACGAAAAGCATTGGAAGAGAAACGCAGACAAATATAACGTCTAGAAATGGTTAAAAATCTGAGTGCTACAAAGGCACGGCTACAARTTTATGACCAAGAAGTTGGATCAGATGAGGAGATTTCAAACTTACTCCACAACCRCAAACCTGTAGAAGGTAAAAATACAGGTCATAAAAAGTCCTTCAGAGTCTTCATCATCATCTGACAATGTCACATGCTTTCAGCCCATCAATACAC